GGTCGAAGAGAAGTTCCCTGGAACAGGAGGCAGAACGAGCATCATTACGGGTCGGTCCAGGTTCAGAATCATCTGCTGACGCGACTGTCATCCTCAGAAGATGGATCAGCTCATCACAGGGTCAGCGCTAAAGAACACCTAAAGAGAAGCTTTTCGCTTGGTCATCTTAAGAAGCGGACACGAACTGGGGAAACGAGATTCATTTGCTTTGCTTTACGGCTCTGTGAAAAATCAGAGTATACAGCGCCAAATGCTTACAAGATTTGTGAATGACAAATTCAAGCAAACGAGAAATAAAGAGATAACGGACTTTTTTAATTCGGAGTTTGCCTGGACGGGACTGAGGCAAACCATGAAGAACCACAGAATACCTAGTCTCAGGGCAGAGATAGAAACAGGGACGACCCTGTAAGCCATACCGCAAGCAGAGACGATCCTGCCACCAGCAAAACAGCTCGCCGTCCAGACACAGGCAGAATTCGCAAGGGTCCTCGCGTGGCACGAGGAACAACCAGAGAGCTGCATGAGCGTCACGTCTTTGCCAGAGTAAAGACAGAACCAGCTTCAGACTGTCTTCCGGGATGTTGAGCCGTGCAGTCTCCTAGTAACTGGCCGATGTTTTATTTGGACAATGGAGGCATTAAGCGCCCCTGAAACGTCGATCAGTTTGTACCAGACTGCACGGCGCAACATCTCAGAAGACATCCTCATACTTGTCGTGAGAACCAGAGATTTTACCTGCGTTGCAGAACACTTGCAATGAACCATTCATGGGCTCATCACATAACATTTGATATAAAGTCTGATGTATCTATAATGAACCGCGAAGGACAATGGAAAAAGCAATGATTTATGCATTGGTTGCAAGGAATTTTATGGAGGCAGGTATTACAAAGTAATACAACGCGCAAGATTTACTAGATAATAGTTTACAGGACAGAATACTGGATAATGTAGCAGAGATTAATTTGTTTTAGGAAATGTCTAACATTGGCTGCATCGAAGAAGATACGAAATGAAAAAGGTAAAGAGACAATGACGTATAAGAAATCATTGCAGACAACACAGCACAATGTAAGACTCCTGTGCGTAGTAAAACAGGACGAGACAGCTAAGACAATCAGTTCGCAGAAAACTAACTGGAAGGGCCGGAGCTTAACGAAGGTGAGAAATTACCACAAAGAGTCAGAGAAGGAAGCTTCCGACAGTCCAGACTTATGAGTTTGCTTAAATAATAAATAAATGTTATTTTAATAATAGGCGCCTCGTTCTCTCTCTTTTTGGAATTAAACAGCACAATGCCATTAGCCACACTACAATGAAAATCACATTTTTTATCAACAGGAAGGACGGCAAATTAACAGTTAGTTAAACTGCATAATGCGTTACAGGCAACGCTTATAATTCAGAGACTCGGACACTTTTTCATTTGTGTCAGTCGGGCGTGTTCAAAGCGATGTAATTCCAAACGGGGGCTTACCGCATGCGATCGCGTCTAAGTGAATGTCGATAATGGAAATTAGTCCATGCTCTAAGACTGCCTAATCTCAACTGCTACTCTCGGTAAATCCACGTACAGAAATAAAACCTGCCACGACGACGCTCACAGTCACGAAAGATAAGGGACTTCGCCAGAAACGAAAGATTTCACAAACAGAACGTATTTATCCCACCCAAGTCACGGCTCTGCGGGTCTCATGAAGTTTAGCGTCGCGTCGTCTACCGTCCGAGCACCGACGACACTCAACTTCAAGTACGGCGATGACGAAACATGCGACGCGGAACTGCGTGACGCGAGTTTCGGGAAACCATGACGCGGGAATGCGCGAACATCAGTGCGCAGTCGAAATAAAACATTCAGCTGCCTCGCTTTCTTACTAATTTATCTTTTCACATGGATAACTAATTTACATTCACTTCATGCCAAATGGCTATTGAAGCACTGTCCTGACTTCGTACCTTCCTCAAAGAGCTTCGATTTCCTTTGCACTGATACAATACAACGCCTGCAACAGATAGCTCACACGTCACGCATAGCAGCGGTGTCGGAGAAGTTGCCGAGTCATCACGGCGCTAACGGCGTGGCCGCACGTCAGTAAATGTATACGAGTGTTATTTCAAAACTGGTCATTCCTATGATGGCCAACTGCTCAAAATAAGCATTATGAACATCCCTGAAGACGAAGACATGGACCGAAAGTGAACGGCGGTAGAAGGGTATACTGAGAGAAATGTTCACGAGGTCAGAGACGTGGACAGAACGAAGTACTCATGATCTGGAAGTGAAGGGAATGAGCTACTGTAAGTTTGTATCGAAACTTCAGACGTGAGCCAGGTGATGCTGTCAGCTGCAGATCAGCGGCTGCTAACCCACGTTTTCCGGCCCAGTTTACGGGCACGTACGGAACTTTAACAAGTTTCAGGCAGAACCAACGACTCCTCATAAATGCGCACAGACAAATAATGCGTTACCGATTGTTAGTGCTCGTTTACTGCTGATAGTCGACCAAAAGCTGGCAAATTATACTTTGTAATAATGCACATTTTAATTTTTCGTCAAACTAAAAAAGACGTGCACAAAAGAGGATAACATTCAAATGAATGTTAAGGAGGTTATGAACCGGATTGAAGTGGCTCAACATAGCATCCAGCGGCGGGCTCTCGTGAGCATGGGAGTAAATCTGTGGGTTACATAAAGTGATCAACTGAGAGACTGTTAGCTTGCTAAGTGGGACTCTGTTCTGTAACTGAACAGCACCAAAGGCCCACTTGCTCTCTGTACAACTTTGTCCCAGGATTAAGGACGAGACGAACGCGATAAGGGAATGCGTGCGTTGAGATTCAGAAGGTTCAGATTTGACAGCGTGAAAACGCACGAGGGGAACGCTTCCTGGAAGCCATCAACGGCGCTGTCCATTGCGCGCGATGACACAAAACGTGTGATTCGTTTAGTGAACTACTTTATACGAGTTTCGCGGTAATCAAAGGCCCCTGTCACAGTTTACTGGTCACCACGTCTGTCCGTCCAGGACCGCGGACGCGTTGCAGCAGTGGGAACGTTCTTCATGTAACAAAAAGAGAAGGCGAAACTGGAACATCGCTTTGTCGGGGAGACGCAGAGTCCGCTGGTGCAAATGTTCCGGAACTCGAAGGCAGAATGCTCGATCGGCTGTCTGTTTTGAAGAAACAAACTCCTGACGGACAATTCCTTCAGCATCAAAAAGGTATGTTGACAACGCGTCGCTCACTGACTTTGATATTCGCCCTTTTAATCGAGTCTCGGGAACAATGGATTTTCTTTCTTCCACCGAATTTTCTGTGTTCTTTCTCTGGGTCTCTCTCGAGATTTATGTATCATCACTAGTCATGATTCTATTCCAAAATATCAGGGTTTCCCAATTGACGTCGTAAATGGTCTGAGAAAATATTTTTCACGAACAAACAGAACACTTCGCAAATGAAACACTAAAAACACACAAACAACCTGAGCCTGAACGGGTTTCCGATACAAAACTGGCGTGTGATCAGTAATGTAGCCTCTCCAGTGATTCCACTCGCTGGATAAATAAGTATCACTGCTGTTATTTCCGGCGTTCCTCGTTTTATGAACGCATACGTAAAGAATACCTCAATGAAACGTGTTCGACTGTAAGCTTTGCTCAAGGTCCTCGATTATGACAGCAGCGCATTAACACTGATCATCTCAAACTCTTATTCCGGGGGTTTTACCGGGTTTCAGGATGTGCTGCAAAGTCCTACACAACCCAGCAATACATCACTGCTGACAACACTCTCATTATCTGAGTTTTATTGAGTTCCGAGCTACTGGAGTGGAATTCGCTTAAAAGTGCCAGATACATAAAGATTCCAGCGCTTACTACTGCTACAGCTGAAGAGGTGTCATCGCCACCAGCCCACGAGAAAGTTATGTTATTGCCTTTAATCCTGCAAGTTCCCGCTCAGGACAAGGGTCTCAAAAGCGGTTATTCCTTGACTGCAAATTGATTCTTTGTCAATGAATAGTAGGAATAAACTGTGTGTGTCGTGTTGCATATCAAGCCCCTAGCTCCGCGAAACTGATGAAATCCTTGCTTCCTTGTGGTGGTACTATTTCTGAAAACTAGTGATCCTGTTTTCGTAATCCTTAACATTACGTACGAAGCTGGAATTCCTCGGTGGGTGTAATGTCTGGTCTAGCGGTTAGAACGTTGGCCTTGTAATCCTGGGGTCTCGGGTTGGAATTTATAACTTGTGTTGGGCAAGGCCGTGGTCTAGGCAACACGGAGTTTTCCTCCGTGGCATCCCAACAATTACTCCATTCACACACAGAAGAAGGCAATGGCAAACCACTTCTGCATAATCTGCCAAGAACGTATATGAACAGGTCCCAGTCCGAGAAAAGGATGGAAGAATCCTGTTCATATGGACCTGTCGTCAGACAGAACACTAAATCATATAAATACGAGTAATATCACTACGCGTGTAGAATCACAAGTTACAACATCAAAGCGATCTGGCAATAATTTACAGAAATTGAAACTTATCAGTTTATGGGAGAAAAGAAACATTTCCCATCACTCAGAATGTTGTAAGTCTAGATTAGAATTTCAATCTGCTGTGCGACGTTTCGGGAGTTAGTACTACACCCGTCTTCAGTCACTGCAGTAACACATCTTTTACAACATTTCGTGCACTTTCCATTTTACTAACGTCGGTCCTACAATTCGGCTAAAAAAAAGGCAGCTTTGCGTTTGCGCAGAAAGTCTCGGGCACCAAGACCAAAGTTCTTTATGAACAGAGAACACGGCGATTATCACTTATGTCGTCTGAGGCTTGGCGCGGGTTGCGAACTGTTGGTTTTGGTATAAGTTTGCTCATTACTATCTTCCTGTCCAGTAATCACACTTTTTATCAAAGGAAGCAGCGAGCACTCCCCAGCTAGCTGCTTTCTAATTATTTTGGCTCTTTCTTGGCACAAGAACACTTCGCCCCACAACTAGAACCTCCTACCCCCTCCTGTAAAAGAAAACTGCATCTTGTACGCCCGGTTGCCTGTGCTACGGAGTGGAGGAGTTATATCTCAGAACAAGATCGGGACAAGTCGCAGAGAGCTCTTTCTACATCGTTCAGTTGGCACACGCCTTAACATTATGCAACTCCTCAAACAGCGCTAACCAACCGATCTTTGTCGTGGCGAAGGACACAGGCTGGGAGGATTCAACTGGGATTTGTAACAGGCTCTTGTGAACACAGCAGTGAGCATAATCGGCAAATTACTACGTTCGAAACGAAAATGCAGACCTAACCTAAGTTTAAAGAATGTGTTGAGAATATGAGAACCTGAGAGGAAGTAACAGAAGGCTGAAGAAATTTAGATAACGTTTACTCTTCATCATATTAAGTTAGGTTAGACCTGTAACACGCATGGGGCATGCAATAGTTCTGGTGGGGAAAACCTAAATGGAGCAGACGACCTGCAAGGGACGTGTCCAGCTGGGTCACCATTCACGGCGACCTACAGCGGACGAGGCAATGGCCTTAAGTTCCATGAAAGTGTTAAAAATGTGGATCAATTGTGCAATTGTCACCTTTCAAGGAAAGAACCTAACTATGGACAAATTAAAATTCCCCCGACCACATTTTGCATATTCCTGAAGAAGCCGTGAGAGATGTGTCAGAGTTGCGCTGTGTTTATCAATTACTAAGCCATTCGGTGTAACTTCAATTAAGTACGCCAACAGCGGTGCTTTATTGTGCCCTGGGAACCAACTCCAATTATACTAATAAATTATAACAAGCGAGAAAAAAACCCAGACGTAACTCATTTTCTGACAGAAAGGAAAAGGATTAATAAAACATCCTAATGCTGGCACTGCACTCGTTAATTGAGGTCGCGTAAATTCTTCTGAAACGAATAACCACTAAATTCATTTTAAAAGCATTCTGCTGTTGCAGCAGAAGGATTCAAGAGGAGAGGCGAATGCAAGAGAAAGGCTACATATTTGTAAATGGACGCGAGACGGAAAAACAAACGCAAGCTTTCGAAGAACGGAAGACGAATTGCGACTCGCCAACGCCATGCAGCAGAGCCTCTCCTGAGAATCTGACAGTTGCTCAGTTAGTACATAAACTCACCACTCTTTATGAAAACCAGAAGTCTCATTTCCGTGCCGTAAGGTCTTGCCACCTGAGCCATTTCAATCCACTCCGCACTGTCCCATCGAATTAAATTAAAGACGTGTGCAATAAACATGAAGACAGAAAGAATTTATGAACATCTCTAAAGGACGGAAAGTTCAAATATTAAGGTCTGGATCCGTAACCAAATCAAACCCGTGACGGCCAAGAAGAGAAAATTTGTTCAAGCAATTTTCAGAATTATAAAATCGGGTAACAAATGTCAAGTCTCGCGCCACATATGAATACGGTATGAAGCAGGAGGAAGAAGCGGCAAGGATTAGAAAGGAGATCGGTGTGGAGAAGAACACAAAAATAAATGGAAAGAGAGAATGAAGGAGTATGTGAAGAAGAGGGAGTGAAAGAACACAAAAATAAATGGAAAGAGAGGACGAAGGAGTATGTGAAGAAGAGGGAGTGGAGACAGGAAAACTGGAGAGCATTCGCTCGCTCTCTACTAAAAGGGTTAAGCGACTACCTGCTGGCCGTGGTTGTACTCAGCTCCTGCCACAGTGCATGGCTCGGCGTTCGTCTGGTTCAAGGCTTCCTGCGTGTCCTCCAGCTGCAGCACCACCCCAGGTGGCAGCACCGTCGTGGGTGCTGAAACAGCAGAAATGCGACGGGCTATTATCACATTCCTCGTCACTGTCTTACCGAAACGTCGTGTCTGCTGATGGTAAAAAAGCAAAACAAGCAGCTGAAAGAAGAACGTGGGACTGGGGAGACTCGGACGGTGACAGGAGAACGGCGTTAAAGTCGGCGTGTGAAGTGCCGGGAGCCGGGGAGTGACAGTTGCGTTTAACTTTATCAGTGAACGTCCTGTGTAATCGGAATATTCTGATCGAGACTCTTTTTCCACACAGAAGGACTACGAAAATGGTTTGTATCTGCAAGCCGCAATGAAGATTAAAACCACTGAGGAACGCAGATTCCGTAAAAGAAAACAACACATTTGCTGATGTCTATGGATTAGCCCCGTACCTTATCAGCATTTTGTCACACGTCAAAGATGCAGTAACAGTTAAGAGATGATTGCTGTTGGTTTGAAGCGCAACAAAAACCACGAAGTCTGCGAAGAAGCCACTTTCTTTCGTGTCGTCGCCTCCAGAGGCCAGCGCAGAAGCTGAACAACTGAAACACGACACAGCCGTATTATTGAGACTTTTAAATTTTATGAGAGATGTAAAAATACGGAGCAATGGCGGCGACAGCTGAGCCGAGAAGAGTTGGAAATGAATTAATGAAGGAATAAATTAGAGGCCGTGCTGCGTGTGGAGAGACAGTCGCTCGCTACATTACTGCTGCTGGACGCTTCGGGACAGTGTGATCCTCAAAGTCTGAGCGTTTCGACGGCGGTTGAAGGGCCTGGTCCGCCACAAACCGATTCTACGACAGAGGTTGTCATCATACTCACTGCTGTAGTGCTCCTGAATCCTCCAAGCTGTCTCGTTTCTGGTTTGCTGGTGAAATTTCGTATTCATTCTCCACATCTTCATTGATTCAGTCATCCATACATTAATATTCGGCGAAAAGTAAGAGACTTCCAATATTCATTCTTCCTTCCCGTCTGCAACATTATTGTGTTCCAGAACGCAATGCTTGTCAGAAGTAAATAAAAAATAAGCAGGATTTCAGTGTCTCACGGCGGTGAGTAAGAAGAAGGCTGTTTACTGGGTTGTAGAGCCATGCAGCCTAGTATAAAGAAGTTTTCCGACGTTTCAGATGTACGTACTACCTCCACCATCAAGGTGATGGCGTCGGCAAACGTCTACCAGACTACACGGTCGCCTTCGCCTTCAAAACCTCAAATCCCACGTACGTACTCTTGTCTTTCTAGGCTTTGTAGCTCAATTCGAGGCTTGGTCTTCCCTGCAGAACTTTCCTGCCAGATTTTGGAACCTTGGGCGGGGGATCAGCCCGTCGTAAGTGCAACACACTACGGAATGACGAACCAAATGATATTAGCGAGGACAGCCGATCGGTTTAGTCTGAAATGAAGGTAATCGTGAAACACTCTGTGGATGCTGTCACGTGACGACCTGCAGGGTGATGGATCACACAGCGACCTGCAGTTTTGGGTCCAATCACACCCACACCCCTATACATCATCATCATCATCATCATAAACTACCTACAGACCATACATACGGCCAGCTGAAGTTGCTGCTTCCTTACCGAGACGGTCAGCAACGATAAAGATGCTGACATATTTGGAAGGCTTTCAGTTTGTATCTTAGATAAACTTTATTGCGCGTATGTGTGTGTGCGCGTGTAATGACGCTGTATCGACTGCAGAATTTTGTAGGGGCAGTATGACAAATATATCTATTATTAACAGCAAGTTGACAGAATATGGCAACATTCTGTAACATTTGGGGTACTGAAATATTGCAAGTGACGACATACCAAGGGCAACTTGTGACTTCCAGTCAACAAACTGCGACGTAGTACGTTTAAACCTGCAGCAAATGCGTTATGAGCGATTTGACGACGTCTGAACATGAAGCCGGGCGTCTGTGACTATTTGCTCCCTGTAATCGGGGTCGCTGTTCCTGTTATCACCGGAGAAACCACGCGAGGTCTAATTGCCTTGTCAGCTAATTCAACAGAAACAAACTACTTAACAGCCGAGCATCTGGACAGAAACAACGAAGCAGCGGGAGGCGTCAGAAATGAGAGGAGAAATGTGCTCGACGCTGTACAGTCTGAGCTATTGAAAAAGCGTAATTAAATAACTACAAATAAATATGAAATGTGTAAATGTCTGTAAAATACTGAAATTAAAATGTATCTGCAAAGTTTTAGCTCACGGCATTCACGAGATGATGTTAATGGAGCGTCAAGGTAGCTGAGGCGCCAGTCTCTTCAGCAACAGACTGCCAATTGTCACGTGTCTGTCTGTGTATGAAGAGGAAATAGAAAAACACACGCAACAGCTGGGGAAGAAATGAGAGCAGAAGAAAGTGAGCGATGAAATACGAAAAACGATAGAAATGAAGTTACGATAACGCTCATTAAGAAAGCCTAACAAAACATTTTACGAGACAGCGAAAGCCATTTTGGAGTGTGCGGTCACATCTGTCAGGATCTGGCATAGACAAGTGAAGGCTTGTTTTGTGAACACAAACTTAGGGATTGGAGGTTTACGAGCGTTGGTATTTCTCAGCGCAAAATGTAACTTTTCCTTTAAAACTTCTCTAGCGAATTTAAAAAATTCAGCAATTCACACGCCATGAATTACATCTGACAAAATGTCATGAAATTAAAAACAGAACCTAACCTACGTGTCTGCATTTCTAATTCTTGCAAAACTGTTTTGACAATTAGTTGTTTCAGTTATCAATAATCATAATAAGATTTAAGAACCTTTTTCGATAATCGCTTTATTTTACGAAACTGACAATTCAACTATGGTAGGTACTCAATCTTGAAAGTGTGATGACAGACGCACGTACGGAGTTTGTTACCCGCCGTCTTCAGAAATCACACAAAATGTAAGGATAAAAAATAATCTACGACCGTGTCCTTAACACAGAAATACAAAATGAAGATTTGCTTATTGTCGAAGCAGGTGAAATATATAGTCAGTTGCCTCTGGGCTTTAAAGCGATAATACATTGATGATTATTCTCTCTGGCAGCCAGAACTGCAAATTACTGTGTTTTTATCAGTCGCTAAGTGAAACCCCCAACCTCCAATATGTGTGAGTGGAACTGAAGTTATATTTCACGCTTAGGGTCACCACAAAAGAACAAAACACCCAATTGTTTGCCCTTAATAGTTATTTCGTCCTACTATTTATCTTCATTACGGACAGGGGTTTACAAACTTGCTTTCAGGGACTTTGCATCGGTACAAGAGAGAGGAAAAGAGGGAGACAGGTGGCAGCCATGTCGTCCGTCCTCCTGCTGAGCAAATGCAGAGAGCGACAATCCGTGTTGAAATTTCGTGAACCCAGTTCCAGTTGCTAGTCCTGCAAACAATGCCAATCACCGAGCACGTAAATTCCGCAGGCAGCCAGCGTTGGTTAGCCTCAATGCATAACAAAGGCGAGGAGAACGAGGTACAACCTCACCTTGTCCATTCAGCAGCAAATCTGCAAAGTTCCGCTTAAAGCACATGATTATCACTCTTTCACGCATCATAACAAAACAGCGAATTTTCACCCGCGAGTCTTGAATCCAACTTTCCAGTTACTTCAATAAGTTTCACAAGACGACAGCTGAAGTTCATATGGAAGATTCCTGACGAGACAGAAACTGTGGAAGTGTAATAAATATTGGAACACGTGAACACAGACTACAATACATTCAGCATTCCAGACTGAGAATTCTTAGTTTTAACCCAAATAAAGACATCGCTTTCGCTCGAACAAACCCGCGATATTCCACCCTTTAGCACAAATCATCTCAAAGAGGACCTGGCTTCAATTCGTCTTTCTCAGCAAAAGCTACACCTCGCTTCATTACCAGCGTTTTGTACCTAGACGGCTAACACGTTTAAATCGGTTCTCCTTTTACAACCGACTCGACCAAGCACCGATTGGCCACCATCAGCGGCCAACTCGACGGAACGAGATCTCGCATTAACCACTGCAAGACAAAGCAGCTTCAAGCTCCGTCTTCAAAGAAAGCGAGAAAAATACCGATGACTGCTCTTTCGCTACAAACGCATAAACAGTCGAGATCGGCCACAGCCGAAGTTCGTTCCCGCAGCAACACACGAGGTCTTTGGTTGTAAAAATCGCATTATTTTCAGCGCAGTGGCCATTAAACAGATTTCTAAGCAGATTTCATTCAAACGAACCCTGCCAATTTGCTTTCAAACTAGAAATATCACAGCAATTAGATTTCTTAATGCTCTTTAATGCTAAAATGGGCTATGTCGGCATAACTAATTTCCTATCAATATACACAATGTCAGCAAAGGTTCAGTTGCCTGTACCAGATTTTATTTTCACGAGCCAAAAATTCAATCTCTCATTTTAACAAGTTTTGTGTGAATTTAACAAAAATGGGAAAGACGTGTGTTTGTTTGTCCGTCCTCATGATTCATCAGCTAAGATATTAACCCCCCCCCCCCATGTGGTTAAAAACATTGAAGAACATTATTTAAAAACTTGAATTCAGACATCTAGCTTCCTCGCTGAGATTTAAACTCGACATCTTCCAAATAAGAACCAGGAGTGCTAACCACTCACACGCGGCATTCGATAAAACCAGAAGGGCCGGTGTTTTTGACCGAGATATCACGTGCATACCATGGAAAGCGTTTGTTGATCCGTCAGTGCGTCCTGTGAATCCCGAGCTCCCTTGCGTGGTGTCGTTTCGTGTCAATCGCGGCGGAAGGACCTGATGAACGCAAATCCCATTCATTCAGGCACTGAATCCAGGACTTCGTGGTCCATTACTCACGCTGTGCGACAACCCAATCAGCGCCCGCGGAGCAATCGGATCGCTTGAAACACGCGTAATGACGTCATGATGGGCTACACGGATTACAAGTTCGTATCCCAGCTGCTGTCATGCGCTACACCCAGAGCCGGTGGTGGGGGAGTGCGTGAACACAATAAAATGCAAAGCACGAAGAGACACGCGTGG